GAGGTTGCCAGGAACTGCGGAGGCCTTCCATTGTCAATTGTCGTGATCGGAGGACTCCTAGCAAAGTCCGAACAGACACGTGAAAACTGGCAACACGTTTTAGAAAATGTAAGCTCAATTGTGAATTTAGAGGAAGGCGAGCGTTGCTTTAGAATACTAAAGTTGAGCTACAATGAATTGCCGGTGCACCTGAAGCCGTGTTTTCTCTACATGGGCATGTTCCCGGAGGACCACAGGATTCACGTCCCCACGCTCATCAAACTATGGGTTGATGAAGGATTTGTGAAACCAGTCGCTGGTAAAAGCTTGAAAACAATTGCCAGAGTAAAGTACCTACATGATCTCGTCCTCAGAAACCTAATCTTGGTTCGTGCGTGGGGCCCTACTCGAAGAATAAAACTGTGTGGCATCCACGATCTCATGAGAGACCTATGCATAAAGGAAGCTGAGAAATACAAATTGTTTCGCACGATGGAAACAACTACGACGCACAACCCTGACCACGACCAAAGCTGGCGTGCACTACGCCGTATCGGCATTAACCAAGCCAGGGAATACATTCCACGTCGACTCCCTGATTTTGTGGAATCCGCATCAAGAGTGCGAACTCTTATATGCAACGTTTATGGAAGTTTACCATCTGTTGTTCCCTTCAGAATGCTGAGGATTATGAATGGATACGATAAATTAAATGGTCACGACCATAAATATACTGAAAACGAATCATCTCTTCCTGTCAACCTGTGCCACGTGGTTGCCCCAAGGATTCAATTCCCTGTGGAAGTTTTTAACTGTCTCTGGAATTTACAGACGTTAATAGTTGATTTGGGCCATAGAAGGCCGGTGCTGGACATCTGGCGGATGTCCCAACTCAGGCACGTCAAGGTACAGGTTCTCTGGCTCACTGATCCTCCTCCTCTTCCAATGGATGAAGCTGAAAATGGTGATCGGATGGTGTTGGAGAAGCTAGAGACGCTCCAGTACGTATGTAACTTGAGGTTGAGTGAGGAAGTTGTTGAGAGAATCCCCAATATCAATAAGCTTAGAATAACATACGACGAGGAGGAATTATCACCGGCTGATTATGGTCTCGACAACTTGTGTCGACTACACAAGCTGGAGGCCCTTTCATGCTGTATTGATTTTAGGAAGAGTGAGGTGATGATCACGTTCCCGGTTTCACTCAGGAAGCAGACTCTGTGGTACACATACCTTGGGTGGGAGGAGATGGGGACAAAGATAGGGTCGTTGCCATATCTCGAGGCACTCCAGCTATGGTCTGATGCGTTCGTGGGGCCCGAGTGGGAAACAGCCGAGGGCGGATTCCCGAGCCTGAAATACTTGAAAATCTGGAGCTGCCGCAATCTGGAAAATTGGCGGGTGGAGGCCACGCACTTCCCGCGCCTCGAGCGGCTTCAACTAGATGGCCTACACAATCTGAAGGAGATCCCATTGGGAATTGGAGAAATAACCATGCTTAGAGAGATCATTGTGGACTATTGTGCTGACTCAGCCGTGCTTTCTGCAAAGAAGATATTAGAGGAACAAGAGGGGTGTTATGGGGAAGTGGAACTTCAGATTACAGTTAGGCTAAACTATCAGACCCAACTACGAAAAGAGAGCTTGAGGAGTCGGAACTTACGTTTTTTGTGATTATTATTCAACTTATTGAGGAAGAGTGTCTTGGGAACAAGGGCTTCAGCCTTCTTCAGGTTCATTTTTTTATACAAAAAAAAATTCAAATTATTTGAATTACTCTTTTAAATTTGGTCAGCAACTTGTACAATAGAAAAGGGTGGAGAATCTATTATGATTGGTTTGGACTGTTTAATAGGCTCATAATTTGATTTGTCTGAATGCATAATGTTGAAAATATAAATATTTTGTACTCTGTCTCATTATCTTCAAAATTTTAAGTACCTTTATCTTTGTAACTATTTTGTTCATGATCATCAAGTGCCATTGATTTTTGCTAACCTGCAGTAAACTATTTTGATATACATGTTATTCCAGGTGCAAAAAAAAAAA